TAAATTTGCCTTATTTACATGTATCGGCAATGCAAGCTGCCATGCGACTTCCCCTTCTGACGTCACAAGGGGAATTTCTGTATGCAAATGAGAAGCTAATGAGGAGCCTTGTTTTAAAATACACAAAAATAAAGTTGCCGTAGACTGAGTTTAAAACACATTTTTTCACTTAAAAAAATAATTCATGCTTAGAAACATAAAAATTAATAATATTTATGTATCAATTGATAATTTTAGGCGTGAAAATAGCAGCCATTTCACAGGCACTTTAATTTTTTTTTAATTTTTCTTTTGATGAAGTGAGTGTATTGAACATGTATCATCTTATCAATGGGAGAATAAGCAAAACTTTTTTTTAGGCTTTACAGACATTTAAAACTGTTTAATGAGTGACATTGTAGTGAACTGTAGTCAAAATTAGTGTTTGATTGTGTTTGGTAGAAGTCCATAGATGATATAGTTTTCTAGGGTGGAGATATTCTCAGTTATGTTACAATTGTGTTACTGTGTGCTGCGAGATCTCATGTTATGTGTGAAATGGGACATACAAACAGGACAAACAAAGGTCATATTGGTGTTAAACATAGCACATTATAGACATTTAATTATGGTCAATTTGAATTTCGATGCCATAATCCCTTTTGTATGGTCAATATTTACTCATTGATCCATTAAAAAGGGAAAGAAATTCAAGTTCAAAATCAAATCACTCAATTTTTACGGAAGTCGTTCTGTCTGTACCTTACACACAATCTGCAAAGTGAACAGAAAAATCACAAATTAATTAACCTAAGATAAACCTAAGAAATCAGATCTGAGAAGAAAATGACGCCTTGGTCAATGCAAAAAGATGAGTATATCGTGTGGTTGACAACTTTGATTTAACTTCCGACTGCACATTACAGTAAAGACAAATTGAGGTGTTTATTTTGTTATCAGAATCACTATATGATTGTAGCCTGTATTTTCAGACCATGCCTAGTTACTTTAATCTTACCCATTTCTATGAAGACAATTTCTTCACAACCACAATGTAGTGTCAGCATTTTTATTACTCTAGTAATAGGTGTTTGGCATTTGTACAGTAAACATATGAAAACATCTGTTCTCTTTAGACTCAAGTCCTTCTCAACAAGAATTGCTGAAAACGTGTATAAAACGTAATAGTAAAAAAGAAGTCAAACCAAGCAAAATTCGGAAAGAAATAGCTTTTGTTGGTGTCAATGGTAATTTGGCGTAAGTATTTACTTTGTCTGCTCCACTAACTCATATTCTACTGTGATTCATTTTGATGATCTCTCATTACATTTTTCATAGTACAAAATATTCTTTCTGTTTATAACTTGCTTCATGGTGGTTATTAGTCCTCATTTGAACGCAGTCGAAAACAGGGACTTATGGATTGACCTCTGTGTGTCACCTCTATCTTGAACCTCATTCAAACTTACACATACATCTTTGGATACATAATTTATGCACATCTATTTGTTTCACAATCTGATTCAAGATGGTCGAATGGTGACCACTTTTATGCTTAAAATTCATCAAAATCAAGCATTTCTGCCATTCTTTAGTCAGATCTCCGTTGTGTATGGACAGACTTTGTTCAGATTTGGTACATACATACATAAGACATGGTGCACATCATCTTGTTTCTCAGATTGGTTTCTATTCCAGAGCCGTATCTCTTATATGGTTTGTCCAGTCATGTTCAAAGTTTATAGATACATACATCTTGTCACACATATGCACATATATTTGTTCAAGATGGTCAAATGGTGGCCAATTTAATGGTAAAAATTCATCAAAATCAACCATTTCTGTCATTCTGGATCCAGATCTTGGTTATAAATGATATTATCTTGGTACATACATTGAACATATATACCAGGTATAACAGGACCATGTTTATTTCAGATTATATTAAAAATGGCTAAATGCAAATGCTGTGTTAGATACGTGTCTCTGACATACATGTACATTGACTGATTGAAATCAAAATTACATAATTGTAATTGTTTCATGTTTTGATTCAAAATGGCTGACTCATTTCAATTTTGTTTACTATTTAACTTACAGGGACTATTTTATGTAATGACACGTTTTTATCAAATTAAAACCCATTATATGGGTATATGTATTCAACACCAATACACTGAAACCTATATACTGAAGACCAGAACAATAAAACTTATTCAAAAAATATTCTAATAAATAAACCAAACATGCTTTTGTACCAAGTTCAAACAAAGTCTATATAAGTTTAGCTAAGAAACTGATGGAAAACTTGTAAAAAAATAAAATGGCCACCAGTCAGCCAGTTTGAATCATATCGAGAAAATAATTATGAACCTCAGTAACCCATTATTAGTAATGTAACTGCTAAGTTTGATTAAAATTGATCCAGACATGGCTGTTAATGAAACGTTATCTTCCTGAAATGACCCAAAATGTAAGTTTCCATTTTATCCAATGCGGACTTAAACATTAAAATTACATATTTTAACATGCCGGATTTGGGAGCCTGTTTTTTTTTTTTTTTTTTTTCTTAAAACTTGGTGGATAGATTACTCTTTATTGGTAATTAATCCATGACACTTTGATTTGTATTTTGCTTTTGACAAGTTGTTCAGAAACAAACACTAATTGTTGAGTTTTCTTTTAGTGATGATGAATCAACATCCAGCAGTAGTTCTAGTGACTCCGATTCAGATACTTCTGATACCTCTGAAAGTTCTGACTCAGACACCTCACAGGAAGGATCGTATGATGGAAGACTAGGGAAAGTTGTTAAAGTGTGTGAGACAGAAGGCAAGGTAGCTTCTGTTTCTGAACTTGCAGCTCATGGAAGGGAAGAGCCAGTCACAACTATAGGAGTGACAAAGGACAAGAAAAATACACCTAACATTGAAGAAATAGAAGAGAGGTAATTTTCCTTTCTTTACAAAAGTCTCATATCTTCTTATATTTTGAAAATGTTAAGGCTTTTACATTTCGTTGGCAGGGCACCATCTTGACTAAACATATGTGGTAGAAAATTTTGACCTTCTTACAACCATTGGAAATTTGTGTCCATAAAGTAGTCCAAATTTTATGTTTGCTCATTTTGGCCATCATTTCAAAAAGTTTGAGCAATGTTGGTATTTTTGATCCAAACTTAAAATCATAGGAATTTTAAAAAATGCACTTAAATGTTATAATGAAAATGAAAGCTTGTGATTTTGAATCTTGAGAAATGAACATATTACTTAATAAAATATTTGTATCCCTCAGCTTTGAATTTAATGAAGAGATTTCTAAGTCCCTCGCTGTGCTGGAAAAACACTCTGAGAAACCAGGAGATACAGACACAAAGGAATTAGCAGTTTGTATGAGTATCATTGCCAGCGACTGGTTCCGGGTCTCTAGTCAAAAGGATGTTGATGAGAAAATGGTACTTGATTACTTGAAAGGTTTACAAGAAATGTCAAAGGGAATTCTAGAAAAAGTGGTAAATCTGGCAGATGGCAATGTAAGTATTTTTGTAATTTTAAAACTTAAACAGCAATAAAAAATATCCTCACTTGTTGGGGTCACTTGTGTTAGATTCTGCATTGAAATCAGTCAATAAACAGTTATATTTCAAAAACTTGTGTTTTAGGTTTTATCTGTCATTGTGTGCATACAAAGATTAAATCTTACAGTTGCAGGGATTGTTTTTAGTCTCTGTTCAGACGCAGTCCGAAAACGAGAACTTATGTTTGACCCTTGTGCGTGCGCGTGTGTATCTTAGAAATGCCTGGACGAATCATAATCATAATCAAACTTCACACATACACCATACATGATATTATACATATGCAGGTCAATTTGTTTCACGATCTGATTCCAGATGGCGGAATGGTGGCCATTTTTGTGCTAAAAAATCATCATAATCAAGCATTTCTCGGCTGTTTACAGATGGATTTTGTTCAAACTTAGTATATACATTAGACATTATGGGACCTTGATGCAAACAATTTTATTTTTCAGATCGGATTCAAAATGGCTGACTGGCGGCCATTTTGTTTTAATGAATGGGATTCTAGATCCATATCTCTGATTTGCTTTGACTGATTATGTTCAACTTTTTAGTCCCCGTTCAGGTGCAGCCTGAAAAGGGGACTTATAATTCAGGTTATGTCAAATGTCCATTTTCCGTTTTCCATATTCCTTTTTCCGTCTCCAACATTTTCTCAGAAATTCTACAGCAGATATCAGTGAAACTTGGCAGGTTGATGAACAAGTCTCCTCCGAGTATGCACATAATTTTTTTTCCAGATCTGAAAATCCCAAGTGGGTCTTTTTCACTTTTCATCAAAAATTACCTCTCCCAGCAACATTGACAAAACGTCTGCGCATGCTCAGAATAAATTAATTACTGTAAAATACTTTATTTTCGCTTGCAACATTTTTTTGCTATTTTCGCTGGAGGAATGTTTTAGTTAAAATAAAATCCAGCGAATATACCTTTTTTCCTATATTTTACAGTCAACTAAATTCAATACAAAACACCCAGAAAAAGTCTTTTTCAGCGAATGATAATATTCCAGCTGAAATAAAATATTTTACAGTAGATTAGA